CGGGATACAAACCGGAGGAACCAGGCATGGAGGGAGGTGGCAGAGACAGTGGGTGAAACTGGTAGGTTTTCACCTGTTTGGGGATTTTATATCCAGTTTACTTAGTTTAAACATTGCTATTGCTTTGTATGTCGGGGCGGGAGATTCATGTGATTGGTTGTTGGTCGCGTTGCTCGCAAAAAATCCCCAAGTTTTCAGACACGCCCACATCCAAGATTTTCAAGATTTTTTCAAAGCTGCTGTGTGGACGGGCCGTTACAATGAAGGCTCGATAATCAGCTCACGGCATATAGGTGTAAGCAGGGGTAAAGTGCTATTCTTTATAAGTGGGGGGTGGACCTAATATCCTCTAACATTTTTATAAATAATAAAAAACGTGTTTATTGGGGGAGGGCAGGAATGTTAAATGGGAGGGCCCCACGGCGCCGGATCTGATGTACATTAGTTTGATATAGTCACTGGTTGATTATCTTTTCGTATAACACATACATTTCTTGTGTATCAATGCAAAAAATAGTGCTTTATCAGCATGTGTACATTTGGTTTACAAGGTATCAGAACGACTCTTGGTGGAGATTTATACGAAAGATTGTTTTATTTTTCATTATTCAGAAAAATACTGTTGTGTAAGAAGTGTTTAGATCCTGTACTTGAGTCACAACATTGATACCACAGTAATAAACTACTTTTAGAATTACATTTCAACACATTCCTGATTTTTTTCCTATGATTATTCAATGTGTCTTTTATACATTTTTTCACGTTTATTTAGATTTTGTGCTTCATATTGTGATCAGACTGTTGCATGTTGCTCATTTCAGTGTTTATATTTCCAGGCTGTAACACTTCTTAAAGAGCTTTTTTATGTATCTAACTGTGGCTTTCCTGGATAATTAAAGGTAACATTTTGGAAAAATACGGAGATTTAAATAAAATGTAAAAACCAGAAATGCAATAATAGAACCATTGTGCGTAAAAGCATCTCCGAGTTTAATCCTGTTGGAGACATTTGTTGCATGTCATACCTCTCTGTATCTCACCTCTACCATCTTTACATCTACATTCACTTTCAACTACAGACAACAAGCCAGACAAGTTGTTGCTGTGTGTGTGTGTTGTTGTTTCTTACTTGCACTCTCCAGGAACTTTGCAGGATCCGTGCTCTGTGCTGCAGCCCTGTCTGCAGATTGCTGTCGTGAGAAAGAGACGCAAAAAGAAACCATGAGCAAACATGAACGCAGCAAAAAGAACATTCATTTGATTCCATTAACGTCTCAAGGGAGCAAACAGGAATTCAGTCTGTTCTAAGTATGAGATTTGTTGGCACCAGTAAACAACTTACGAAGGAATGAATTGGGATACCATCGTTCCTTTTAAAAACATCCATAACTTAATCAGGTACTTCAGTTCAAATACATTTGAGTTAAAGATGGAGCCACAGAGGGACAACTCCAGTCTTGTTCAAAACAGATGCCTGAGTTAAAGAAGACTTATCTTTGGCAGAGGTACAGAAATATCAAATATCTTAAAGTATGATTCCCTTTCAAGAGATTGTTGATATCTACAGTTGTCAAAGCATCACATTGTTCTGTTTTGCTGACTGTTTTCCCACCAAATGTTTTTTCTTTCTCAAGGGGCTGAAAGCTCAAGGAAAGTTTTTAAATAATCTTAAAGTGTATTTTGAAATAAACACATGAAAAAATGTCCGCCTGGAAGGAAACATTTAAAAACTGCTCTGATTTGATATAAAATCTTGTATTTAATAATAATCTTTAATTGTAGAGCACCTTTCATACAATAAGTGCAGTTCAAGGTTATTCACTTATTCATTTCACAGAAAATGTCTAAGTGAAGCATACAGTTACCAGTAAAAGACATACAAACAAACTAAAAATAGCAAATAGTAGACATAGAAAGAATAATTTAAAAGGTACAACGATGAAATTGTGCAATAAAATGGGGATAATGCTAATTCAACACACTATCAAAATGTTTAATGGTCTGAAACAAGGAAGAATCCCCTCTAAAGTTTCCATACATCAATAAAACCCACTGATAACTCACCAGTGTTGCAGTCTGGTCCGGCCCAGCCGTCCAGACACGTCTTGTTCCCGTTGTGGTCGCACTCGTAGTGTCCGAAGAAGTCGTCCCGCGGGCGGCAGAACTTGTTGCAGCCGAAGCCGTAGTAGTGCTCGTCGCAGCTGAGGCGGACCTGGAAGTGGAACTGAGCCACGGGGCCGGTGTGCTGCAGACTCTGCCACTGCCGGCTCGGGTTGATCATCCCCGAGTGGACGGCTTTCTCAATCATCGCCCCACCGACATCTGTGGACGAACAGGAATTCATATTAAAGATCAAAGTTTCAAGGCTTTATTGTCATAAGCAGAGAAGCTACAGTGTAGATATGTCGATGAAATTCTTAGGTTACCGGCTCCTCCAACAGTGCAACACAAAACAAAGAAGAAAGTGCAAGTAAATACAAAAAATAGTAAAATAGTGAAATAACAGCATATAAACAATAAGATATGTATATATATATATATATATATACTATTGTTTATGTTGTTTTCTTTGTATTGTTTCTATTCTGATGTTATGTAAAGCGTCTTTGAGCATTAGGAAAAGCACTATACAAATTCCATGTATTATTAATATATATATAGACATAAAACTAACAAAAAAATTGTGCAAGAAGAAACAGAGTAGAATAAAAACAGTGCAAGATCATCTTGTAATATATATATATATATATATATACACACACATGTCGAAACAAATGTAATAAGATAAAGACAATATCAGTCAGATAGCACATTTAAATTGTGTTTTGAGGACAAACTGGTATATACTGTACTAGGGCTGAACGATTAATCGATTTTAAATCGAAATCGGACCAATGTACACCTTCGGTGTCGTGAAACTAACCACACCTCCTGACTGTGTTTCTTTTTTTTTCTATTTTCTTATCGTCCGAAACGGGGTAACTATTCGTA